TGCTCAGGAGGGGTGGGTCCTCTGTCCTGCAGAGGGTGCAGACCCCAACACAGCACACAGACTGCCCCCTCCCCACAGGGCCCACAGCTTCCCTGCACAGGGCCACAGCCCCCACCTGCATGGCGCACACGCCCCCCACAGGGCCCACATACCCCTCTGCAGGGTCCTCATGCACCCCCCATAGGGCCCTCATGCATCCCTATAGGGCCCACATGCCCCTAAAGGGCCCTCATGAGCCCCCCACAGGGCCCCAGGCCCCCTGCAGGGCCCACAGCTTACTCCTGCAGTAGCAGTGGCCATGGGGCACTCAAGGCCCACTGCAGTCAGAGCCCCCAGTGGCATGGCACAGCCCTAATGGCCTTGGAGCTGGTGCCATCTGTGCCACCCATCACCGGGCTGGGCCAGCTCGGCATGGCATGGTGCAGGGCCGTGCAGCTTCAGGCAGCACCAAGATTTGCAGGGACCACATGTGGTGCCATGCCGGGTCCTGCGTGCATGGGCCCCACATGCTGTTGGGCTGGGCTGGTTCCATGAAGGCAGGACCTGGCACAGCACAACATGCGGTCCCCACGAGTGGGGCTGGGCCTTAGGTGATAGCCGAAGTGGCCCTGGTGCTGCCTAAAACTGCATGGTCTCATGCTGTGCTGTGCCAAGCTGTCCCAGTTCCGTAACAGACAGCACAGGCTCTGAGACGATAGGGGCCATGCTGTGCCACTGGGGGGTTCTGGCCACAGTGAGCCCTGAGTGCCCCATGGCCGCTGCAGCTGTGGGGGTGAGCCATGGGCCTTGCAGGGGGTCTGAGGCCCTGCGGAGGGGGGGGGGGGGGGGGCTGGGGCCCTGCAGGAGACCCACACCCCCTGACCAGCCCCCCCACCCCATACACAATGCACACATTTCTACAGCACCCCCAGCCCCTACTTAACGCAGACAGCGCCTGGGTCACAGCTTTGCGCTGCTCCTGCTTGACCTGCACATGAATGCAGTGTGCTAGGGCAGCACAGGGCACCATACAGATGCCCTGGCTGGATGCCAGTGTCTCTGGAGGTCCGAGCCCTGGCTTGCCTGCACCTCTTTTCTCTAGTGTGTTTTTACTTGATACCTGGAAATCCAGGTATAAAATTCTGAGCCCATGCTGGAAATATGCAGCGTGAAGAACATTTTTTCATTCTCAGCGTGCCTCTTACGGTGTCCCACACCACAAGAGACATATGCACGCTCGTCTGGATGTACCCCATGAGTCCAAATACATTGTTATTTTTCTGGCTGACTTATCTGTGTAATTTGTGAATGTACTGGCCATTCCCAGGGAACTCCT